TGAATAAGAGAAAATTTTGCCCTCATGGAGGGTCCCATCAGGTGGGAACTAGAAATAATGGACCCCCTCCAAGAAAAAGGCTCCCCAGCCCCACCCACCCAGACCTACCTCTCAGTTCCCAATACTCTCCTGCCGCCCAGACCTCCACCTCCGGGTCAGGACATGGTTTGCTGTGCTTTAGGCTGAGGCCGCCCACAGATCTGGCCCCTCCAGCTTCTCCGGCCAGCTCCCTCTTCCTGGGGGTCGAGAGGAGGTTCATCTTTAGGGATTTTGCTCCAGAAATCCTCCAGAGGGTGAATCAGCAGCACAGCTGACAGTGTGTCCAGGAGGCCCTGAGGGTAAGATGACCTGATGGGGATTGTGATGAGAGAGTCACCCCTGAGGGTCTATCTCCCTTGGGACCCAGCAGAGGCCAGGGTGACCGCGTGTCTGTCCGCAGAGCCCACAGAGAGGCTCGGACCTCCTCAAGGGCGCTGGATAAGGGCTGGGGAGGCTTATCATGTGAAGCTGGGGAGGGAGGGTGGGCCTGCCCCACACACTGGGTACCGGCTGCCAGGACAGGCAGTGACAACCAGGGGTCCTTGAGCCAGGCCTTGCTGTTCTCCGGGTCTTAATGTCCCCATCTGTCAGATAGAAGAGATGGACTAGAGCATCTTTTAGACTCTATCTGTTTCAGACATGCCACAGTGGAATCGGGGGCTATCTGACCGGCCCCTCCGCTCCCCAGCCACCTCCTCGGCCCCTGCCTCTTTCTCCCTCAGCTCAGGGTCTGGGAAATGGCTCTGAGCTTCAAAGCTGAGCAAATAAACATATCCAGGCCCATAGGGAACAGGATGTAAGGGAGGGCACGGCTATTTTTACCACAGTTCGAAGGATTTTCACAGCTGCTTCTGTTGTGTCCACACACTTTCCACAGCCCAGGCCATTGGAGGAGCAGACATGACTGTGGGTGTGGTGGGAGGGGGTACACTCCTGATAGAAAACCTACCCAGCCGATGCCACCGTTAGGGAACCACTGAAAGCAGCTAAGCACTGCCCTCCTCGCGTGCTTCCAAAACGTAGGAGCCCCAAAGGAGGGCTCTACACTGAGTCAGTAACAATAGCTTTGCCCCACCCCCAAAATAGCTTCAGCTAGTCCCCCTCACTCTCAGCCCACAATCCTTCACGCAGCATCCACGAAGAGATTTTTTAGATCATGGACTTTGTTTTTATTTGTTGTCTTTTTTTTTTTTTTGGTGAGGAAGATCAGCCCTGAGCTAACATCCATGCTAATCCTCCACTTTTTGCTGAGGAAGACCGGCTCTGAGGTAACATCTATTGCCAGTCCTCCTCCTTTTTTTTTTTTTTCACCAAAGCCCCAGTAGATAGTAGTATGTCACAGTTGCACATCCTTCTAGTTGCTGTATGTGGGACGCGGCCTCAGCATGGCCGGAGAAGCGGTGCGTCGGTGCGCGCCCGGGATCTGAACCCGGGCCGCCAATAATGGAGCGCGCACACTTAACCGCTAAGCCACGGGGCCGGCCCTGTTTTTTTTTTTTTTTTTTTTTTGAGGAGGATTGGCCCTGTGCTAACATCTGTTGCCAATCTTCCTCTTTTTTCTTCCCAAAGCCCCAGTACATAGTTGTGTATCATAATTGTAGAGTTGTAGCTCCTCGGTATGGGAGGCTGCCTCAGCATGGCCCAACGAGTGGGGTGTATGTCCGTGCCCAGGATCTGAACCGCCGAACCCGGGCCACCAAAGCGGAGCGTGGGAACTTTGCTACGCCACCAGGCCAGCCCCGAGATTTTTTGAAAGTATAAGTGAGATCCCAGGCCCTTTCCCTACTTAATTACCTCCCCCACCACCACGGCTTTCTCCTTATGCTTGGAATAAAGAGCCAGCTCCTGGGGCCAGCCCCTTGAAGTTGCGGTTAAGTGCGCACGCTCCGCTGCTGGAGGCCCGGGTTCGGATCCCCGGCACACACTGATGCACCGCTTGTCCGGTCATCCTGTGGTGGTGTCCCACGTAAAGTGGAGGAAGATGGGCATGGATGTTAGCTCAGGGCCAGTCTTCCTCGCACACAAAAACGATCCAGCTCATTATTACCTTGACCTGCAAAGAGACCCTACAGGGTCTGCCCCTCACTACTCTCTTTCCCTTATTCTCTCTCTCTCAATTTGGATTTCAGGTAACAGAACTGGATTAATCATAATCCTCAGTCCACTACATACTCTTATCATTGTTTCAGGTCATTAGTCCGCTCATGGACCACTTTCGTTTAGTTACACATATAGTTATTTTAAGTAATGTGGTTAGCACCTTCAAAACCACATTTAACATGATAACGCAGATGAATCTCAAAAGTGTTATGCTAAGTGAAAGTTGCTCAGAAACAAAAGATGCATACCGTAGGCTTCCACTTGTATGTAAAGATTCTAGAAAAGGCAAGACTACAGTGACAGACAGCAGATCACTGGTTGCCAGGGGCCAGATGTGGAGGTGGGATAGAATGTGACCAGGTGGGAGGGAAATTTTTTGGGTAATGACAATGTTCTATATCATGATTGTAGCAGTGGTTACATGACTGTATATGTTTGTCAAAACTTGTTGATTTTATGATTAAAACTGGTGAATTTTACTGTATGTCAATTAACCTTCAAGAAAGCCAAAGCGAAAACCAAAAACTACCAAAACAAAGCTAGAACCTTGAGCAACATTTACCCTATCCTCCTCGCCCCAACCCCAGACTTGAGCCAACCATCAACCAGAATCCTATGTCCATCCTGCCTTTACTTGCCCTTTTATACAGTTTTATTCACCTATTTGTATTCATTGAAAAGTATATTTTAAAATTTCAGTTGTTTTAATTCTATAAAAAGAGTATTAAACTGCATTTAATCTTCTGGGACATTTTTCTTAATTTATATTCCTGGGAATGATCTACATTGTGGCATGTCACTGTGATTCATTCTTTTTGACTGCTGATTAATATTCCATCCTGTGACTGTACTACACATATTCATCCACTCGCCTTGATGGACATTTGAGCTGTTTCTAGGGTTTTGCTATTGAGGATGGAGGACAGGGCTGCGGGGACCTTCTTGTGCCTCCTGGGGCACAGGTGCAAAATTTTCTCGAGGGTCTATACCTAGGAGTGGAACTGCTGGATCACTCGAGAATTCAGCCTTAGGAGACGCCTTTTCTTTGCCGTCAGCCCCCACCGCTCTCCACTTTGACCATTATGCTCCGGCCATGCTGACCTCCCTCTCCTCGGACAAGCCAAGCCCATTCCAGCCTCCAGACCTTTGCCCCTGCCGTCCTCTCCACCTGAACACCCCACCTGCGGGGCTTCCCAGGGCTGGCTTTCACATATCCTTTAGGACTCAATCAAACACTACCTTGTCAGCCCAAATGCCCCCACCCTGGCCCCCATCTAAATGAGTTACTCCCATTCCCACCCCAGTCACCCACATTTCCTTCTCTCCATAGCACCTACCACCACAATCAGAAATAGCCTTTATTTATTTTTGTTGATAGTCATTGTCTCCCCTACTAGATTCAAGCTCCAGGAGAGCCGGGATCCTATCTTATTCATGGACAGCCTGGTATAGAGAAAGCACTCAATATTAATCCCATGTTAGAAATGAGAAATCTGTGGCTCAGAGAAGTTAAGCCATGTGCCCAAGGTCACAGAGCCTAGAGGTGGCAGAGCCAGGATTTGAACCCAGGTCTGACCAGTTCCAGAGCCGTGTTCTTTCCTGGAAGGGGCTGGCTTGTTCTGATGCAACCTCTCCATCCCTCTCCTCTGTATCAGCTGGCCATTCAATGCCACCTGTGCAGCCACATGTTGGAGGAAACTCTGGGTCACTCCCCCATCTGCAGTGGGTAGGGACCTTGGCCTTGGACCATGGGAGACCGGGTGTTCCACCACCTGTTCCGGAAATGGGGCCCAGTCCGGCCCCTACCACCTGCCTTCTGTCCTATATTAGAGTCCCAGGCTACGGTCCCTTTCCTATCTCAAAACTCATGATGCTCCGGCTGCTGAGTTTCCTCCTATTTGTGGCCCCTGGTAAGACCCCAGCCTGTGCTGCACTGGGCCAGGAGCCCTTGAAATCTGCCACCCACCCTGGGTCTCGTGCACCCAACACCTGGGTCCAGAGCAAGGGACTCAGCTTATCCCTGGGGCAGGATTGTGGAGGCTTTCTCCTTGGTGCTGGAGCAGGAGAATGGAGGGGAAGCTGTGGATAGACCAGCGCAGGGGAAAGACTGGGGAACCCAAAGGGCTGTGGTGGGAGTCCTAGATGGGGGGGGCGGTCTGATGATGAAGAACTTGGGCACTGTGGTTAGACTGCTTGGGACAGAATTTCTGTTCCTCTGCTTAACCCTCCAACTCTCTTCTCACGCTCCACCTACCCCACTCCATATCCTGTGATCTAGTCTTTTCCTGATCTCTCTGCCATATTACATTCCAGCTCAAGGCCACCTCTACCAAGCAGCCTCCCTTGACTGACAGTAATTGTAACAGATAACGTTTTTTAAGTGCTTACTATATGCGAGGCAGAGTGCTAAGAATTTTTTCTTATATTATCTCATATAATCCTCACAACAGCCCCATGAGGTAAGTATTATTATTGTACCCATTTTACAGATGGGGAAACTGACCCTCAGAGAAGTAAAGTAGCCCCTCCTAGAATGAGGGGCAGAACTGCATTTTGAACCCAGTCAGTCTTATTCCAAAGCTTCCACTCTTTATGACAGGAGCTATCACTCCTTGAGGGCTCAGTGGGGACCAGGCACTGTTCTAAGTGCATCAACCCCTTTGATCCTGCCATGGAAGGAGGCCACACGTTCGTCTCCATCCCTGGACTCCTGGGACTCTGGAAACCCCTGCTCTGGTCCAAATGATCACTGTTCATATGCGGCTACTGAGGTCCAGAGAGGGAAAGGGGCTTGCAGGGGGTCACAGCTAGGACTGTACCACAGACTTTTTTCCTTTTGGGGACCCACTGGCTGACTGGCACGTCTGCTCTCCCCTCCTGCCTCAGGCTGTGGCTATCCTTCCACCCAAATCTCCTCCCGCGTTGTCAATGGCCAGGACGCGGTCCCCTACAGCTGGCCCTGGCAGGTAAGAGCAATATCAGCTGCACTATTTCCCACCATGGGCTCTGCATCGCATGTTCTGATTGCAAGGCATCCAGTCTTGACCCATTTGCTTTGCTTCCAGTATCCACTTCAGCTTCCAAAGGCCGGGAAACCCTTTGACAATCTACTTCCTGTGGAAGTTTTGCCCATTCAATCTGTTACCCTCACTGGACTGTTTGCAAGTTAGAAGTGGAATCCGGGGCGAGGACAATGCTTAGCTCGAGGGGTTGGTGCGCTAAGAGTAGAATTTTAGGCACTGTGTTTAGGGAGAGAGATTTGGGGGGACTCATTTCTAGTTTTGTTTGTGTGTGTGAGGAAGATCAGCTCTGAGCTAACATCCGATGCCAATCCTCCTCTTTTTGCTGAGGAAGACTGGCCCTGGGCTAACATCCGTGTCCATCTTCCTCTACTTTATATGGGATGCCGCCACAGCATGGCCTGACAAGCAGTGTGTGGGTGTGCGCCCGGGATCCGAACTTGTGAACCCCGGGCCACTGCGGTGGAGCGTGTGCACTTAACCACTACACCACCGGACGGCCCCAAGGGGGGGACTCGTATCTAGACTCCCCAAATTATACAACAGGGCTATAAGGTCTGAGAGCAATAAAGGGATGAGGGGCTTTACAGAGGTCAGTGGAGGGAGGCACAGAGGGCTAGACTCCCTGCACTAACATACCAGCCCATAACACTAGCCATACGTGGCTGTTTAAATTTAAATTAATTAAAATTAATGTTAAAAATTCAGTTGCTCAATGCTAGCCACATTTCAAATGCTCAGTAGCCGCATGTGGCTAGTGGCTACCATATTGGACAGCCAACATAGAGAATATTTCCACCATCATAGGAAGTTCTATCGATGGCACTAGTCTACAGCAGGGGTCAGCTAACTTGTTCTGTCAAGGACCAGAGAGGAAATGGCTATATGGCCTCGACTGCAATGACTTAACTCTGCCACTGCAGTGTGAAAGCAGCCACAGGTGATCCACAAATGAGTGTGACTATAATCTCATGTCTTCCAATAATCTTATGGACAACAATAGACCACAGGCCAGATTTGGCCCATGGGCTGTAGTTTGCCAACTCCTGGTTTAGAGGGAGCTTTTGAAAATCAGAATGTAGGAAATGAGAAAAGAGGAAATGAGTGGAAAGGACGCAGGGAGGGTTGTGCCTCAGAGTGCTCAAGAGGCCCTGAGAGAACTGAGGTTCAGGAGAACCCGAGGCCTGGGGCCGGCCCAGTGGCGCAAGCAGTTAAGTGTGCGCACTCCGCTGCAGCGGCCCAGGGTTCGCTGGGCACGCACTGACGCACCACCTGGCAAGCCATGCTGTGGCGGCGTCCCATATAAAGTAGAGGAAGATGGGCATGGAGGTTAGCCCATGGCCAGTCTTCCTCAGTGGGGAAAAAAAAAAAAAGAGGAGGATTGGCAGATGTTAGCTCAGGGCCAATCTTCCTCACAAAAAAAAAAAAGAAGAAGAAGAAGAAGAACCGGGGGCCTGATAGAACAGAGGGCCTCTGGGCTCTCAAGAGACAGAAGGTTTGGAGATATCCTAGAGGGCAGAGAATGTTGAGGTCCCCAGGGAGGTCATAGGGTTGGGGGTTGGACAGCTTTGGAGAGTCAAAATGTGATCCTAGTGGAAAAGTGATGGGCCACCACGAGCAGTTGTGCAGGTTGGGCACTGCACATTTCTAGAGCGTAAGATTCTTTTCTACATGAATGCTGCCCTCTAGAGTTGTACAGTGCACGACCTATACAGCCATGGGTAGCACCCCTCATTGTGGAGCCCAGACAACTCAGGCTGCTCCCTCTCTGGCCACTAGGTATCCCTGCAGTATAAGAGTAATGGAGCCTTCTACCACACCTGTGGTGGCAGCCTTATCACCGCTGACTGGGTCGTAACTGCGGGCCACTGCATCTCGTGAGTTCTCTCACTTGTCCCCGTCCTTGCGTAAGACCCAGGCAGGCCAGGGTGGTGGGTGACTCTGAGAGGGGAGGGAGGGAAGCCAATCAGGCCTGAACTGACCTCACTTCCACCGGCAGGAGCTCCCGGACCTACCAGGTGGTGTTGGGCGAGTATGACCGGGCTGTGGAGGAGGGCCCCGAACAGGTGATCCCCATCAACGCTGGAGACCTCTTCGTGCACCCACTTTGGAACTCCAGCTGTGTGGCCTGTGGGTGAGTGAACTCTCAGGCCCGGGACCCAGGGTTTCTCTACTCATCCCTCTGTGACCCAAAGCTGATTCTGAGGATACTCTCGGGGACAGTAGGGCTGGGTCCAGGTCCCACACACTGAGGGTCGAAGTCAGCAGAGCCTTTAAGAACCATCTGTAGCAAACCTCTCTCCCGACAGAGGGGCAGCAGGCCCAGGGAGGGGCAGGAACTCCCCCAAGGCCACTTGGCTAGTTGGCTTCAGAACCCAGGACTCCTCTGGCACCCCGTCTCCCAAATCCAAGGGTTCCTCCATTTGACATTCATCCCGAGCTTCCTGGTTCCTGGCACCATGACAAAAGAAGAGCAGTGGCCTGAGGGTCAGGCTCCAGCACTCAGCTGCTGTGTGGCCTGGGCGAGTCACCGCCCTTCTCTGGGTCTCTGTTTGACCACTTGTCGAGGGTGACCTTCTGGGCTTCCTTCGTGGTTGTGAAGGTCAAGGAGGCAATCACTGGGCGAGAACACGAAAGCAGGGCTTCTTGAGCCCCTCAAGCAGGTGCAAAATTGTGTGTCTGTGTGGCTCAGCATTTTTCTGGTGAAAGGGTCAAAGAAGGGTACAGAACGCCTGAAAGTGCAGGGCAGGAGTGAGGGGCCTGATGGTCACGAACTTGATCCATCTTCACGGGGGGTCCTGGGGTAAGTGAAGAGAATAAGCGAACCCAGGTGAAATGACTTGAGTGACAAGCAAGCAGATGAAGACCAAGAGCAGCGCTTCTCAAAGCGTGGTCCCCAGGCCAGCGGCATCAGCATCGCCTGGGAACTTGTTAGAAATGTGACTCCTCAGGTCCCACACAGACCCACTGCATCAGAAACTCTGGGGCTGGGACGCAGCAACCTGTGTTTTAACAAGCCCTCCAGTGATTCCGATGCAGCTGAAGTGTGAGAACCACTGGCGTAGAAGCTGAGGACAATTATGAAGGCCAAGGGTCAGCAGAGGCTCAAGGGGCTGGGGGGCTTCCTAAAGTTGCTCAGCCATAGGAATGAATGGGATTTGGAGGGAAAAGGAGCGGCAAGGGCATACCCTTCGGGAATATCTGGAGCAAAGGTTGGGAGGTGGGGCTTGGTCTGGCTGGAGGACCAGGCTCTCTGTGACTCTTCCTTCCTCCCCAGCAATGACATCGCCCTCATCAAGCTCTCGAGCAGCGCCCAGCTAGGAGATGAGGTCCAGCTGGCCTCTCTCCCTCCTGCCGGCGACATCCTGCCCAATGAGGCGCCCTGCTACATCAGCGGCTGGGGCCGTCTCTATAGTATGTGCCCACCCCTCCAGCCAGCCACAGGGACAGTGGCAGGAAGATAGGGCCTGGGGGCCAGAGGTTGAGGGCAAACACCAGGACTGGTCCTTTCATGTTTCTCCCATTCCTCCTCCAGTGGCAGCCTTCTCCCCTCATCCTCCCAAACATGAATGTGTTCAACTGAACATTTTTTAGTGTCTTCTATGTGCCAGGTGCTGGGGATATTATAGTGGACAAAGCAGACAGGACCATATAATTTGGTGGGAGGAGAGTCCCCATCAGACTAGAAGAGCTGCCTGCCTCAAACCCCCCACCCCACTCTGAGGCTCCCAGCCCTGACTTCCAGACCCCAGCCCAAGTCCTGCACCCCCACGACCCCACACGCAGTGCTCTCTATCCCTGCAGCTGGAGGGCCACTCCCGACCAAGCTGCAGGAGGCCCTGCTGCCTGTGGTGGACTATGAGCACTGCTCCCAGTCGGACTGGTGGGGCAGCAGTGTGAAGACCACCATGGTGTGTGCCGGCGGGGACACCCGCGCTGGGTGCAACGTGAGTCAGCTCTCTCCTGCCCGAGGCAGTCCCAGGCTATAGCCACTCAGCTGGGCAGGGGCCCTGGGTATCTCTGCCATCTGCCTGGAAGGTAGAGGAGGCATCTTGCCTGCTTGTCCCCTTCAGCCTCCAGGCCAGCCAGGACTTGGAGGAAATCAGCATAGTCCAGACACAAGACCTTGGCCTGGGAGTCAGGACACCTGGATTCTAGTCCCAGCTCACACTGACTTGCCCTGGGGCAAGTCACTGTCCCTCCCTGGTCCTCAGGCTTCCCCATCAGCAGAGCAAGGGATATTGACAGTATGACCTCTAAAGTCACCTTCAACTCTGTAGTCCTGAAGTTATAATCAAACAATACTATCGTTTTATTATAAGTATGAACCGTAATATTCATAATTAACTATGGCACTAATAACGGGAACTACCATTTATTGATTGCTTTCTCTACTAGGCATTGTGCTAAGATCATATATCTATTCTTTCATTTAATTCTCACAGGATCCTGTAGGACAGATATTATTCCCCAATCAGAAATGAGCAAACTGAGGCTCAGGGAGGTCAAGTAATATAGGAGTTTCTGGAAATCGCCAAAGTCAGAACCAACTCCTTAAAGCTCAGACATGGATCAGGCCCCCATTGCTCTCTGACCATTCTAGGGTGACTCTGGAGGACCCCTCAATTGCCCTGCAGCAGATGGCTCCTGGCAGGTCCATGGTGTGACCAGCTTCGTGTCTTCCCGCGGCTGCAACACTCTCCGGAAGCCCACAGTCTTCACGCGTGTCTCCGCCTTCATCGGCTGGATCGAGGAGGTGAGCGGAAGGCGAGCCGGGAGGGCTCCGGCGCTGGCTCCTCCGAGAGGTGCTGGGGGGAGGGGTGAGAACAGCTGATCCTGAGCAGGGGCTGAGAGGATCCTGGAAGGTCAGCAGTGGAGGGGCCCTTGGGGACATTCCTTCTGGGTGGAGCTTTGAACTCCTGCTGAACTTCCTTATTTCAACAAGTGTTTATGACGTGCCTCCTCTGGTCCAGGTCTTTTCTTGTCATGGAGGATAGAGAGATGTGTCAAAGGGCTGCTTCGTGGGGGACAGATGATTAAGTGAACAATAATATGAAATGTGGTGAGAGCTGTGATAGGGGACACTCAGGCCCCAGTGAGAGTGCAAACCTCATCTGGGAATGAATGGTCAGGGAGGATTAATAATGTTCATGAAAACAGTAATATCCGCTATTTATAGACTACTTTAACAGGTGCCAGGCAGTCTGTTAACTTGTTAACTAACTTGTTAACAGTTTAATCAAAAACCCCCATGAGGTAAGTACTGTGATTACCCCCATTACACAGATGAGGAAACTTAAGCTCAGAGAGATCAAGTCACTCTCCCAGGGTCACATCGCTAACTGACCCTGGGAGTTGAATCCTGTTCCACACGGCTTCAGAATATGTGCTCCTAACTAGACTATTCTGGGTTTTTTTCCAGACCATTTCAAGCCACTAGAACCAAGGCCTGGATGGCAGTGCTGATCCACACTCTCTGTAAAAAATAAAGATTGCTCAGAACATCCTGACTCCAGTCTTTCTTTCTTCTTTGACTCACCTCTTCCCCTCTGGCCTGCATCTAAAATCTTAGATCTGCTATGTAGAGACAAGACCACATCCAACCCTCGCAGATGAAAATGAGGAAAAAATGAGGCCCATTGAGAAGAAAGATGCTATAGGGTGACCAACCATGCCACTTTGCCTGGGACTGAGGGGGTTCCCAGGACACGGGACTTTCAGTGCTAAAACCGGGAGAGTCCTGGGAAGTTGGTCACCCTAGTATATAGCCACATACAATCATTGGCTTATCAATGTAGGCATAAAAACATGGTAGAAGCTGCAGAAAAAGTGCCTTTGCCAGCCCCTTGGGAGGCTCATGGTGGAGTGGGAAGGGCATGTGTTTTCGGCTTCTGTTGATGGGTTGAGGAAGGAAGGCTGTGGTCATTCATTCATTCAACAAGCATTCATTCCTCGTTCCAGAGGAGGGCTCAGAGGGGTGAGACAATGTGGTTCCTGCCCTGAAATGGCTCACTATTTAGATCGAAATGAGCATATTAGAGTATTCATCAAACATTTACTTGGCACCATCTTTGTGGCAAACTCAGGGCTTGAGTACAGACATAAGTAGGACAACTTCAGGGGGACCCTGTGCTGCAGGCCGGGGGTGGGGGAGAGAGGGGGGCAGACACACACACACATGCTCATACAATGCTGAAAACGAGCTCAGAGCCCAGTGAGCTGTTGCTGAGGTCCAAAAGACCGCCACCACGCAGCCAAAAGCAACATAAAACAACCGAATTCCTTTACTCGTGTCTTCTGACTACAGCAAAAGGAAACACGGTCCTAGCAAGGACACATATATACACAATTTTTAATATTAATGTTGTTCCATTGCTCCCTTCCTTTAAAAATTATACGTCTAGTTTTGAAAAGTTTGAAAGATACAACATGGAGAATAATACAGGGAACATCTTGTCGCCTCCCTCCAGAATGAACAAATTTCACATTTTTTGCTTCATATTTTCTAAAATAATAACTATAGCTAAGGTGGAGGCCCCTTTGTACTCTTCCCAGAGGTCATCATCATCATGGGTGTGGGGTTGTCCCCCAATATTACTGCTTTTCCTTTGGGGCACATAGTAGGATAGCTCTTGCCTGCCCCCTTGAGGTAGAGTTTGGCCACGTGGCTTGGTCTGGCCAAGGTGAAGATTTGAGAGACAGGACCATCTGCCGAGCTCTCTTTCCCTTTGCCATGGCAACTGGTAGCTACAGATCAGCCCAGTCCCAGAGTGAGGAGACATGGAGCAGAGCTTCTGCTGAGCCCTCATGGATGTGCAGCACAAGCAAGAAATAGACTCTGTTGTTACAAGCCACTAAGATTTGGGGTGTTCATTACAGCGGCCCTAACCTATCCTGACTGATAAAATGAGTTTGGTGTTTATCCTTCTACTTCATGCTGTTATATTTTTATCACATATATAAACATCCATAAACGCTATACTGCATTTTTTTGTTTTTAAAAATACATGCATGGCTTCACGCTATACGAGTTATTTTGCAATTTGCTTCCTTCACCCAACATGATGTTTTTGAGTTCTCTCCATGCTCATTGATGCCTCTCTAGTTCATTGCTGCTAGTTTTCAGAGTATCCCATTGCATGACAACACTAGTTATTTATCCTTTTCCCCCTGCTGATGGACAGTTACAGCAGGGCCAATTTTTTTGTGATTATAAATAGTGCCTCAATGAACGTCCTTGGACATACCTCCAGGTGCACGTGTGAGTTTCTCTAGGGTGTATTCCGAGAAATGGAAGTGCTGAGTGGGAGCGTGTGCTCATTTTCAACTTTACCAATTGCCAAACTGCTCTCCAAAGTGATGGTATCAACAATACTTCTTAAAATTCCCTTTTTTCCCTTTTCCCATCCACTGTCTCCACACACTACAACTGCCCCACATTTTTCTCCTAAAACCACTCCTGGAATCTCAGCCCTCTCCCACAAAACTCTCCTCCAGACCTCACCCCACTCTGGCTCCTACAAAAGCCCAAGAACTAGTCTGGCAAGGCCAGAGTGAGGGCAAGGAAGGAACTGAGTCAAGGAGAGCAGAGACCTCTGCATAACAGGGGTGCGGGGGAGGATGGGAGAAATTCTGGAACATGCATGGGTTAATCATTTGTACTGAGTCAGTGCTGGGTGACACATGTATCTGTCAGGTGTTCCCAAGGCACAGCAAGGTTGCAAAAGGTGAGTATCTAATTCTTCCCAATGGGTCAGGGAAAAGCCCTTGGACAATTTTCAAAAATAGTTTTAGGATAAAGGCAGTCAAACATGTAAAATTCCACCCAGCCTTGGGGGGAGGCTGACACCTTCTCCTGCATGGGCAAGAGTTTGGAAATCTTGCCTAAAAGTGCCGACAATTTGATCAATAGTTCAATTTCCTTTTTTTAATCTCCAACAATTCAAATCCTTTAAAAACCATATAGTCAAAAACTATTTTTTTTGAGTAATGATTTGAGAATATCAATACCAACAATTCTTTGTTTTTGTTTTCTAAATTAGGAACAATCTATTTTCTGAAAAGGCACAATGTCAACACTTCTATTCTTTTTTAAAAATGATAAGGGCTCAGTGTTGCAATGCTCTCTATTTAATAACATGATGTCAACAATTTAGTTCTCATTTTAAAATCATTAAAGTGTTGATAATTCATTTTTTAAATCTTAAAAGAGTCAATAATTCTATTCTCTTTTCCTTTTTCAAAACATTAATATTGGCTATATTTTAGAAACTTGCACTTTAGGAAAGATTATTAAAAATCACCCACATTCCTACCTCTCTTATACAGCTGCTGCTATCATTTTGATGTTTCCTTCCACTTCTTTGTGTTTAGAAAACCTATCAACAGTCAGATTCAATGAACATGGACAGAGCACCTACTGTTATTCTGTGCCAGGCACAGGCAGAGGAAAATGACCCAAACTTGACCCAAGTCCTCGATGAGCCCACAGTCTGGCTGGGAAGCTGACAGGTACACCCAAGCGGGGAGGGAGACTTGACTCTGTTCTAATGGAGGCGCAGAGTGATGTGGGGTGCAGGGAGCCAGGGTCACAGTGGGATGGGAAGATGGGAGCTCTCGGTGGTCCTCACACTCAGATGATCGAGGCATCGAGGGATTCCTGTCAAAGGTGAACCCATCAAACCTTCTTTGTCAATTAACACCAAAGACATAGTGCTGAGAAACTCTGCTGTCGAAATCACGTTACTAAGAATGGAACATCCCCTTATCTAGTGGGTCGGAGCCCCATTTGACACAGAGAAGCAGCCTGGTTTACCAACTCAGGTGCAGAGCTTCAGACAAGGGGTTTTTGGCACAACAGTCTATATCTTAACTTTGTGATGGCCAAGAGAACAGGACTGAGTCCACTTCTCAGCCTAAGCCAGATGTTAACCCCTTTCCATACAGCCAGGTTTGCTTTGAGCCTATCAACACTGCTTCATCTCATTTTCACCCAAATTCCACTCTTCCCCCAAATTCTATGATAATCCTGTTTCTTCCTTTATTTAGTAAGGCACCCCATGGTTCCTCTGGGTGCTTGCTGCATCAAGTTAATGAACCTAAGTTTGTTAAACTACACCTGTGTCCCTGGTGATCTATATCAGATTGGTTTTACTATAAAATTCAAGCCTTTGTTCATTCATTCATTCATTGATTCATTCAACAAATGTTTACCCAGCCTATGTTCAGTTTTAGGTGGAGACATGGTGACAGGACAGTCATGCGGACCCTGCTTCAAGTGGACGAGATAGAAAATAAACAGGTAATAACAAAAACAGAGTAACAGGATACAAAGGGACCGGATGGGTGCCTTTAGCAGAGGGGAGCAGCGGGTGGGACCGGTGGCACAGTGGGTAAGTTGCGCGCTCCACTTCAGTGGCTCAGGGTTTGCGGGTTCGGATCCTGGGCGTGGATGTACATACTGCTCATCAAGCCATGCTGTGGAGGTGTCCCACATACAAAATAGAGGAAGATGGGCACAGTTGTTAGCTCAGGACCAATCTTCCTCAGCAAAAAGAGGAAGATTGGCGACGGATGTTAGCTCAGAATCAATCTTTCTCATCAAATAAAAAGAAGGGTGGGCAGCGAAGTCTGCCCTGGAGAGACTCCATTTGAGCTGGAATCTGGACAAATAGATCAAGAAAGCATTACAAGCAGAGATCACCAAAGAGGTGAAGGGGAGCCAGTCAGGTTTGCAAACTAACAAGCTCAATGTGCCTGGAGCAGAGTGAGTGAACAGGAGGGTGGGGAAAGATGAGGGAGGTGGGGCAAAGTACAAGGTTTACGTTTTATCCT